ACCTAAGACACTACCCTGTGGCACTCCAGAAGATGGAACGAACGGGCTACAAGTAGCCCCGTCAATTGAGATAACACACCGTCTGTTACACAAGTACGACTCCAACCAACGCAGAAAACTAGAATGAAAGCCAATGCAAGCAAGCTTTTGAATTAATATACTATGTAACACTCTGTCGAACACTTTTGAGAAGTCTGTATAAATACAGTCAACTTGAAAACCTAACGGAAAAGACTCGAAACAATATTCACTGAAAACAGCGAAGTCTTGTAACTTTTCTGGCCTTTTAGACAAGCTTTTTAAACTAAAAATAAATAATTACTCTAATGTAGTAGTAGCTATGGTTGCCATATCATTGCGTAATTAGCATTTCCGTTTGACTTCAACGCGCTTGCAAATGCAGCGCATTTTAATAGGAAATCAATGAAAATTAAATACAAATTTGCTCTTCTAGCTAATGGCACATGGCGTTGTGCACATACAAATATTTTGTGTTAACTTAAAAATGTGAATTTCACAATAATCGAAACAATAGTAAACCACCATAAAGTTTATTGTAGGTGTGCTTTAAAAATGTTTAATAAAATATATATTTAATAAAATATATTAGAAAAAATTTAATATTGGTTGAAGCGGGAATCGAGCCTGGATTTTTTATTTATTTATTTATTTATTGTATTTTGTTATTTATGGCCTTATTTATATCAATTATATTCAACAATTTTATTGGCCGTTTCCAATGAAAAACTTTTGTGTAAATTATTGTTATTTTCCCACAAACGTTTTTGATTGGAAACAGCATCAAGCTCAAATTTCAAAATTGTTGAGTGTATTTATATTTAATACAAAAAAAAATTATAAATCTTCCTTTCCTTTGTTAAATTTATTAAGTAAACTTTTTCAAAACTATTTTCTATTTATCGCAGATTTCCAATCATCAGAGCTAACAATTCAACGAACACGGCGTGAGCATTCGGGAAATTTCACTTGTGTGGCTAGCAATACACAACCTGCAAGCGTGTTAGTGCATATTTTTAAAGGTAATACTAATTAATTTGATAGTAAAATATACATAAATACCATGAAACATGGAAGTAGCATTAAATGCGAATGACGTAAAATATTATTTTTAGCGACTACCAAAGATAAGGGTAAAAACTCAAAATGAATTTTTTTTATAATTAAAGCGGAAATTCATTACAAATTAGTGACATTCAATTTTAACATTGCTCTTCTAGAGGCGAACAACTTATCAAAAGAAACTTGCATGATTTAGTTATTGAATCCGGGTCCTAATGAATAGAGCAGTGCACAACATTTAAACTCAGTGACTTTTTGAACAAATATATTCCTATACAAAAAAAGATCTTTAGCTCGGTAGATTTAGTCCAGCGTTTTTCGAAATTGTTAACTCTAACAAGTATATCCCTCCATTCGACCCAAATGACCGAGCCACTTCTCTGTACATATTTGGACAGCAGAGTCCAAACGAAACTCGTTTTATTTCTTCTCGTTTATATTCAACAAAAAAGCAAATCGGAAAACTCGGAAAGAAATCTTTTAATTAACACCGAGTCCTTCTGATTCGTATGGATTTTTGATTTTTGTTGCAAAATACTTGAAAAGGATGGCTATAAGAATTTGTTTTTCTCTCATGTAATATTTGTAAAAATAGACTTAGCAACTTTTCACTTTTGCAGCCGATTCCAGGAAGAAGCATCGGAAGTACGCATAGAGATAAAAATAGTATACTATGACAGGCATTAGCATAACGTATCACCAAGTACCAGCTTGTGCCCAGTCTCTACGTTAATAGTGTCTTTCTTGTCTGGGTTTCCCGCCATAGGAAAATGGAAGACAATGAGGTAGGTGAATTGCCGACAAAAGCAGCCAGTTTGGAGGACTTGCAAAATAGCCAAAGAACTCTGACCTACCAATGAAAGATCGAACGAATTAGCCATATTCAATAGTTTTCGGACAGAAGTCTTTAGAAATGTAAAATCTATTCGTGGCCCACGGGAAAAGATAGGATATAAATGGCCCAGAAATCTGTGTACACAAAAATACGGGTGGTCCATAAAGGTTTTTGGTATAGGGTTTTGTTGAATATGTATGTTATTTTGACAGCAACACCTCTTTCCTACTGAAGTTTTGGCAGAAAGTCAGCTTGAACAAAGTTAAGAAATATAAAAGATTTTGCTCGAAAAATCATATGACGTGCATTGTTAACTATGTGACTATGTTAACAACCAAAACTGTCAGACCCTTGTGGCGAACATCGAGCATGCCACGCGTGAGATAGATGGATCCAGAAATCGTCAGCAAAGTTAGACAAAACTAAGTTAATAGAATGCGCTACTGCCATGCTAGCCAACTACGCCACCTTCTCATATAACTTTATTTTCGTAAATTGTAAAAACTACGATCATTCAGTAAATATTGGATCCAAATTGTTGGAAATTATTGCGAAAATTGAAATGTGAAGTAGAATTTTTGTACAAAATAATATTACAATAGGGGTATTCTCTGAGTCTTGCAAAGCCCTTGCACGGTGCACGGATTGCACGGTTTGCAAAGCTGTCCCATACGAAAACCGGTTTTAACCGTGCAATCTGTGCACCATGCAAGGGCTTTGCAAGACTCAGAGAATACCCCTAATGAAATTTTTGGAAAAACTCACTCAAGTGTGGGGCCTATTGGACTATGGATGTATGTAGGTAAATTTATACATGTGTAATTGAAATTGCAAATATAAGCCTACTCACACATTTAACAAAAAAATGTGTTCAAAAGACTATGCAGAACTTTACCTTAACTTTGCACTACACGTTTCAGTACTATTTGCCACAATAGAAATTAAGCATTACAATTGTGGGCATATAAATAGGTAGGTATATGTGTGTGTACGTACATACATACATATCCATATAAAACACCATGCAACAGGTCACCTCCAAATAGTTATTCACCATGTTTTTCCAATAAATTAAATTGCTTTTCAGCACCTGTCAGCGTTGCTTTAGCTGCACTTCTGGCGATAATTGCAAACACTTGGGCGTCTAGGTACGGCATTTCTCAGGCTAACAAAGAAAGTTCTTATGTACGTGCACATATGTATGTAAGTTGATGCTTGTAAACATGTGCTCACAATCAAAGTCAATGAACTGGCAAGCCATGGAAAAATTTAGTATCAGTATGTACTTATACTATGCAGAATGTGTAATAGGCAAAAGGTAAGGTATGAGTAGGAAAAAGCACAGATTGAAATGGTAGTCATATGTAGCTCACGTGTGCTCTCTGACATGCAGACACATATTTATAGGAATTTAGAACAAATTTTAGTATAAGAATTGAATTTGATAGCAATATTGCTTTTACGTCTACTCCGTGTGAAATTGAATCAATACAAGGAAAATAAAGAGGCTAAAGTGATGTCGTACTTGCTCACTAAAGCTACCGTTTGCAACTAAATATGCTGCTGTTTATTATACAATATAAAATTTACTAAACCGTAATAACAAAACTGTATTACAGACATATCTATGTATGTATACAATCATGCAAAATAAGTACTAATATCCTCAAGTTCTACACATACCGATGAAATCGATAGTAAAAGAAGGTTCAGTGCTTTCTGCAGCACTAAAAAATAAAATTAGTTTGAAGAAGAAAATGAAACTCTTACCTGGCTTCATAGGCTGCTGTGGTCAGACCACACCTCAACAGCAGTACGAATGCCGTCAGCGCGATACATAATTTCTATTTTTTCTATTTGTTGTTTTTCTTAATTACGAAAAAGCCTCTGTGAAGTGCAGAACCGAATCAAGCGACGAAGAAAATTGATTCAACTTGAACATTTAAAGACACATTGATAATGCGGCTGTAGCTGAGTGTGTAAAGATGCTTGCTGTTATTTGCTAATCCCGCCAGAGGCAACATGTTAAAATGATAATACAAATTTTTGTTTTGTATCTCCGAATTATGAAAAAGCATCTGTGAAATGCAGAACATAAACGTATTCCAACGAAAAATCGACAACCAAAAGTTTGGTTAATGTAACAATGTTGCGGTTAATATTACCAAATCAATGTTGAAAATATCAACCAAGGTGTTATTAATATTAACCAAAAATTACGCTGATTCCTTTTCAAGTTTGAATTTGGTATTATTAATAAATTTTTGGTTGATTTTTCTCTCAGTGTACAAAAAAGTATCTGCCGCTCGGATAAGGTGTTAAATTGTAAATAGGGACCCTCGACTAAATCTTTAGGCGAAATGTGTGAGCGCCAAATATTTATATACTTTTGGAGAGCGAGTTCCGTAATAGTTTAACATCCTGCTCTTCCTCAGCTTTTTATGTGCGTGTTTATTTTATTCTGACCCCAAGGATCCAAGGTTGCATCCACCTGCATGGTTGGACCTGTTGGCACCTGGTTTGCTATTGTATGCAATGATACCCAGTTTAGCGCTAATCTTTCTCTCGATTGCTAATTAGGTTATCTCCCATATTTCCTGTTGAAACTCACGAAGATAACCTCTAAATACATTAAGCTAGCTCTGTCTTCAGTTAATCCTCTATCTTTTTTAGTCGCGCTTAAATTTCTGCCTTGATCCAGTCTCTTTCTAGGTTTTACTTTAAACGCTTCTTGTTATTTTGTTCAAAGTTATGCTTCCATTGTGCCTGGGTTTTCTGACGTTATGTTATGGACGTGATCAACCGAATTCCGAAAGCCGCGAATGGACAAGCTCTTCATTCATTTTATAAACTATGACTTAGAGCCGCTTGCATCATGTTTGGTTAACACTTTCTCCGAGCAAAACATCATATCGGCGTTATCGATCTCCTGTTATAAGCATGGCGTCGATAACGTCGATAACAATGTGTAACTAGGGGTAAGTGTTAGCTAGACATGGTACAAATGGCTCTTAATAGGTTAAGTTTATTTTCTGTCCATTACCTCAATATTGTTTAATACTTAATTTAAGAATGTTTCATTTAATTTGAAAAAAGTATCATTTAATTTGAATAAAGTTTCATTGATTCTGAAAAAGGTTTCGCTTTATCTGAAAAAGGTTTAATTTAATTTGAAAAAGGTTTCACATATGATGAAAATGGTTTCATTTAAACTGAAAATGCTACATGATCCTTTCGCCATTTCGGGTCGATTTCCAACTTGATTGGGATATCTACGTTCGTGATGGACAATATTTTGACATTTTAAACCAACTTCCAGTGTGCGGTTTATACCTGCTGCCGAGTTGACGTTTAAGTTCGTTTCTTTGCGTCATTGGCATTCGCGTCACTTATACCTATTCGTTTGAGTCGCTTTTTACGGCACACATGCCTTACTATGGTGGGGATTACTAAGATCACGAATTTCGATACCTTGAAACTTACACTTTATCCCACTATAATTAAATGAAGTTTAGGTGATAATTTGCCAAGTTTTTAATATTTATGTATAAAGTATGTATGAATTTTTATTGTTTTTATTATAGATATATCTAATAACTTAGACATAAAAAAATAATTTTTAATTAAATAAAAAATAAAAAAATGGCCAAAGGCTGTTAAAACTGTCACCAAATTAATTAGATAACCTCAAAGGTACATATGCACCCTTTTTTGTGCCAAAAATATCTGTAACTGCGTTTCAAGCTACTCTTTTTGCTTGCATAAAATATTTTTATTGTGGACTTGGGTGGGGTAGAAGTTTTCTCTAGTGTATTTGTGGCCAAATAAAAATTTAACAAAAAAATACCATAGTCGACTATATAGTCTATATCCCCTTTAGTCTTTCAAAGGCATACATCGTTGTAAGAACATACAGTGACTCAAATAAACAACCACGTGTTTTTTTTTAATATTCGCAATATTTTTCCAGCTAAATTTTTTTGTTATTTTTATATAAAAATATCGTCTAAGCTTTAACCAAAACCGTGTAAATCACAGTTTCAAACTTTACAAAAAATTTAGGAAAATTCAACAAATCTTCATCAAAATTTTAACTTTTTATTCTGAATTTTTAGAAAATATCTG